ATATATATTTCAGATTGAAAACCTATTAAAAAAAAAAGTTCGAACTAAGTAAAATATTAATAAAAAAAACTGTTGTAGAAAACTGAAAACTAAATCAAATACAAAAAATTTCTTTTAAAAAAGGAAAAAACAACATTTAATAACACTCTTGTTCAACTAATAGACTTAAAACTTGATGGTAGTTTATCATAACAATAAAGTGCAGCAATGCATCGCTGAAATTCTTTTTTAACTTGTTGAAGAAATGTTTTATGAGTTATTTATAACGGTTTATCATGTATAATGTATTACTTTGCAACTTGTTAAAGATACATACACATTTTTAAATATTTTGAAAAACATTTTTCTTGTTTTATTTAGCATAAAATGTTGCATACAAACAGATAAACTTACATTTGGCAAGGTTTTGCACTTTAATATTAGAATATGCTTCTCTTATGTGAAAGCAATTATGATATGTTTCACTTATCATTCTAAAATTGATAAAAAGTAAATAAAAATTGCACACTTCAATCTTATATATATATATATACTTACATTGAATTTATTAGTTAAGAAAATTAAATATAACACTAATTTCGAGAAATTATAAAAAAACTTGCAAACATGAGCTAAACTTCCTGAAACAAGCTGATTCTAGAAGTTTAGAACTTGAAGACTCTGAATCACTTTATCTTACATCTCTTTAGTTCTTTAGTCAAGATTTAGGTTAGTCAATATATATAATCGCCTTTTTTATAAGGTGAAAAAAGTATATACAGTATCGGACAAAACAAGTGCAACTAAATAATGCTAAATTAGTTTCTTTATATAAAAGTGCTGCATTTTTTTAATTTAGAGAAATAACAATGTAATTGTTTAGAGACAACGTTCTTCAAGTTTTATTCATAACAAAGTTCATTATTTGTACACAAAAATTATTAATTTAATCAAAAGTATTTAAAAAAGTTGATTACCTTCTGGAAAAAACAAGTGCAACTCCACAAAATGTTGACCAAGCTAAATTTCGCTATCAATATTTTGTGGCGATTCTTTTGTTGTCGATCACAGCCTTGCATCTTCAAGGCATAGATTTGATCAGGTGATCAATTAAACTTTGTGGAATCACTGCCCAGGTCTATTGGATTTGCTCCAACAGTTGATTCTTATTACGAACACCTTCACGATTAATTTTACGGTTTACGATCACCCACAGGTACTCAACAGGGTTAAGATCCGGAGATTGAGGCGGCCAATCCATCACTGATAGGTGGTTGTCTTGAAACTACTGCTTGACTACTTTTGCAGTGTGCTTTGGATCGTTGTCTTGCTGAAAAACCCATTTTATTGGCATATTCCGTTCAGCATGAGGTAACATAACATTATTCAGGATTTTTTTAAACATGAAACGGTCCATTAATCCATCGATTCGATGTATTGGACCTAGGCCGTTAGCAGAAAAATACCCCTAGACCATTACATTGCCTCTATTATGTTTCACGGACTTATGGCAGTAACGTAAATTGAGGCGTTTTCCAGCCGGTCTGGAAGTGTTGGAACGCGGTCTTCCACCTTTGTTATCTGCTGCCAACATCCCCGTAGAACAATATTTGGAATATAATCTTGATACGGTTCATTTTTTCACGCGATACTTATTGAAAATACTTTTTTGTGATATTCCAATTACGTAATCGCCAATAATTTTCTTTCGTAGTTCCATTCCAAGACTGTCGGTAGCCATTTTCGCACTTGAAGTCATAAAAATGATAAAAATAAATAATCACGCTTCTCAAGGCTTACCGTGTTACATTTACCTTGTGATGATACAATAATGCTCTGTGGAACACAACGTCTTATTACTTCCTTTAATTATTAAAAAACTTCCGTGACATGATAAGGACCAGACTTAAGAAAATAAAACAAACCAAAAAAGTTGAACATGTTTTGTCCGCTGCAAAATGGTACTTGTCAACGAAATTCTGCCTGTGTGTTGTCACCTGTCAACTGATTGCTTATGTCATGGCATGCTATGACTCTAGGCTCCTGAGTTGTTTGCTGCGGTAGTATAGTTTGTTTCGTTTTTAAGACGTATTAAATTAGGAACACTTTTTAGCATTGTTCGATGTTGGTTGCAAATGTTTTATCCAATTCTGTATGCATTTTTTAACTTAAAATACAGTCAATTTCTTATTTTTTTTCAAATAGATAATTTTTATTACTGAGCAAAGTCTACCAGTTAGGCTAAAATAAAATCATGGTTCAGTATTATATATACAAAGTTATTTCTACTAAAAGTTCTACATGTATAAGTAATGTAGAGCAATTGTTAACTGAAGTAAAATAATGTAGATAGAAATAGTTTTATACCTTTATTAAAATATTTATTCATGAAATGAACTTTCTTCGTGTAACGTTGTGATCATTTCATTGTAACTCATATTTTGTTACTCATATTGAGAATGGTAGTTTATATAAAAAGTAATTTTACATACATAAAAAATTATTATAAACAAAAAAACACACAGATATATATAAATAAATAAATATATATATATATATATATATATATATATATATATATATATATATATATATATATATATATATATATATATATATATATATATATCGTCGCATGAGTATTATAGGGTTTAATCTGCCTTGTTTTATGTTGAAAGAATTTAACAATCAAAGTTTGAAATAATAATTATTAATAAAAACAAACCACTTAAAAAAGTGGTTTAATATAAAATATGTTAAATAATGAAATATAGATAACAAAAACAACTTATAATTTATAGTTATAATGAATAACAGCTGTAAAACATGTATTAAATAAATATTAAACAATAAGTTAACACAATATAAAGAAAAGCAGATAGAACCATATAATTCTAATGTGACGATATATATATATATATATATAAATATATATATATATATATATATATATATATATATATATATATATATATATATATATATATATATTAGCTGAGATATATATATATATATATATATATATATATATATATATATATATATATATATATATATATATTATATTAGCTGAGATCGGCCCTGTTTTAACGGGTCATTGTAAGTCTAATATAAACCAAACTTTTCTTTACTTTTTTCCTATACATCCTACATTTTCCAGATCTTTCTTTTCATATCTATTCTGCACTGATTATTTATATACCTCTTCCTTATTTAATTCAATATTTTTTAGTAAAATAATTTATTCTGAAAAAAACATTCATGAGTAAAAAAACTTAACATGTGCACTTTTTCCGCATATATAGAGCTCATAAAGGCTTATATTTATATTTATTTTTCTACTAAATGCATTACATTTGATAGCTCAGTAGTTAAGTGCGCTGTCATCAGCTTTGTTTTAGGGGGTATAAGACTTTTCTTCAGCGTAATAAAATTTGACAATTTTTTAATAATGCTTATATACTTATAACATAAAAATAATAGTTTAGCAAAAAAAGATTTCTTAAATTTAAAAGAAAATTACAAAGTTTTTTTATTTTGTAGATATATTAGCTGTCATGACCCGTAAAATACGGGTCTTGGTAAATTTCTAAACTTATTCCTTTTTTCAATATGTGAGACGTAGAAATATAGCTATATACATGTAGAAAAATTATAATTGTTGTTTTCTTCTTAAATCAATGAAAAATAAAAATTTCTATTATAATTAACCTTAAAAAACTTTAAATGCTACAGTAACCGTTGCGTAAATCGCCAATTAGATACCTGTCGAAATACCTGCTTGAAACGTGTAAAAAATTTTACCTGACCGGACCCGTAAAAAAACGGGTTTTTTTAAATCTATTCCTATTCAAATCTTTTTCTTTATGTGTATATCCTTATTTTCCTAACCAGTAAAATATGGGTTTTTAGTAAAGCAACAACTTCTATACTAACTTATTCCACACAAATCATATCTTAATAACTTTAATATTATTTGGTAAAAAAGATTATTCTAAAGTTTTCTAAAAAATTTTTTCAAGCGCGGTTCCAGACAGATTTTGCGAAAAAAAATTGACATGAACATTTTTTCCGTAAACGGAACTTTAAAGAGTATCTTATATAAGTGAATCTTATAAATGATTTATAAAATAGTTTATTTTTCTCATAAACAGAGAGACTCCATTCCACATTAACTTTGTCTTTATTTCTCCTTCTAATATTTTTTAGTGAACAATAGATTATGAGCAAAAATGAAAGTTTACATACGCATCCGTATACTTAGAGATTATTATACGGATGCATATTTACATACGCATCCGTTTACATAGAGCTTATTACCACGTTTACTTTTTTTGTAATAAAAAATTCTGATTTTACAACTGAAAAAATTTAAGAAAGAAAATCGTCTCTTTACGGTGTTAGATTTACCTAATTAAATATGTAAGGTACTATTTTCATTGTTATTTAAATTCCGTCATTAAGCACTCGCCTAAGAATGTTTAACGGAGACGTTGTAAAATAGCTATGAAACTTTAAATTACTTTATTATCCTAAAACTAAGTAATTTTAACTTTCATTGTTTTTCAAATTAATTAAGTTGATAAAAATGATTTATTTTACATAAAATCAAAATTTAAAGTCATGTTTTTAGTGAATATACTTTATTTAAAACCCCTTACATTGTTCAATAAAAGTTTAGATCGCCGCGTGGCAGGCTTGTTTTTTTTTTTAATTTTCAAAACGCAAAACAAAACAATTTCATAGTTCTCTTTTAAAATTGTTTTTTTCTGTATTTTTAATAAAATCAATGAAAAATTAGAAATATATAAAAAAGAGTTTCAACTATAGGACTCCGATATTATACTCCGACGGAGGTGGATATCAACCTTCGTATGTCGGCACGTTAACCGCTCGACCATATTGCAACTTATTTAACTTAAGTTTAAAATTATTTAAAAAGCAAAAGACTGCATAAAACAAAAAAATATGTCACAAATCAAAATTAAAATGATGTTGTCGCAATGCAAGTAAAACTGTAAAACATGATATTACATGTTTATTATTACAAAATTTTATATTACATACATAATAAAATTACACACTAAACACACAGTTTTGTTCAAAGATACACCTTCGTTTGAAGGTACTATTTAGTTTACAGTTTCTCATAAAAAAAAGCTGTTGCAACTCCCTCTCCACATTACCTCAATTGCAATGTCTGCCAAGAGGTCTGTATCAAACAGTCTCGAAAGGGCACTACTACTATTAACTTTATTATTATTAAATAGATAAAAAGAATATTCAAACCTTCTCTATTTGATTACTCAATTCTAAAAAAAAATAGAAATCTTTATTCTTTTGTCAAAAACAATAATTATGTTAATTCTGAATTAAGATTAAACCTTTAAAAAGAACACAACAAACAAACTTTTAATAGAAAGAATTGAAACTAACTTATTGCTTGATAAACGATATATAAAAAGGAGCAGATTACATGGCATATTCTCAGTCGTTTCAGATTACAGTTGGCGCTCATACCATAATCCAAGAATCAGATAATATTAAAATCTTTTTATAAAGCTGTTTTTATTACCGGATTAGGTGGATTTAATTAGATGAACCGCAAAGACATTATTTTAGTCGATTGAGAATTGGCGCATATATCGTAATACAAAAAGTCGTTGATTTTTGAATCTTACAGTTAAGCTGTTTTTATTACCGGGTTTGGCGGATTTAAGAAGATGACATGAAGTTTAACAAATCTAAAAGTGGAGTTTCAAGTTTTTCACTTAGATGTCAATATGTGTTGTGTCTTGTCAATTTTGTCAATTTTTTTAAATATAATATATTTTAAAAATAACATGTTTTAAATATAACATACCTACTAATCACTTAACCTACTTAAACATCAAAACAAAACTGATTGAAAAAAATAGACTTGTAACTATTAGAAAAGTTTACTTATGTTCCATACGATTCTCAATAAAACGTTTTATAAGTGGATTTTTTACATTTTATAAACTATATACATAAACAAATAACATATTTTTTTATATAAATTGTTTACATAGGGATGGTTAGGCGCCAAACTTGTCTATTCAACAAAGTTTAAAACAAGTTTGTTTTATTAAAAAATAATTTATATAATGTTTCTTCGTTTATATGTTTTTTTGCAAACAACAATACTTAAATTTTTAAGCACTGAACTGCATTTACTTTTAATTCTTTTGGTTTATTGTCTTTTGTTAAGAACTTTTAAATTTTGCGTCGAATTATCTCATTTCGTTGTACGATTATTCATACTACAGCCGTTTCTCAAAACACCTAAAGGCGGATTTCCACAAGACGAAAATATTCGAATATTTTCGTCGAAAAGCATGCGCAGATAAAACATTTCTGTCAAAATTAACAGAAATGTTTTAAATGCGCATGCTTGTCGACGGAAAAAATCGCTTCGCGCGAATATTTTCGTCTTGTGGAAATCCGCCTTAAAGGTAATAAATTTTATTTTTGACTTTTTTACAATATAAGCTTTGTTTTTTTGGTTTTGTCTACAAACGTTATTGAATACATATTTTTAAAATGTTCTGAAAAAATTTATTAAAATCATTTTTTTTTTTAAACGTTTTACAAAGAATTTATAAATAGATTTTTTGCGCTTAATTATCTCTATTTAATTATTTTCTTTTTAATTGCGTTTTTTTCGAAATACGAAGTAAGAATATTCGGGCATTTTGAAAAACAGCTGCAGCACATGTTGATTGTAAAAAAATAAATGTAGCAAAAAAAACTATTTCTTGTCAAAATAAATTTTTAATTTATTTTTTAACTACGGAAATTTTTTTTTTCTATTTTTGCAGCACTTTCTGGAGTAGCAGAACTGTTTCAAAAAGTTTTTTTATTTTATTAAGTTTTAAAAAAAATTTTTTTCAGACCATCCGCAGCTTATCAGGACTAATAAATATCTCAATACATATATAAGCACATTATTAAAATAAGTATCTCAATACATATATAAGCACATTATTAAAATAAGTATCTCAATACATATATAAGCACATTATTAAAAAAAGTATCTCAATACATATATAAGCACATTATTAAAATAAGTATCTCAATACATATATAAGCACATTATTAAAATAAATATCTCAATACTTATATAAGCACATTATTAAAATAAGTATCTCAATTCATATATAAGCACATTATTAAAATAAGTATCTCAATACATATATAAGCACATTATTAAAATAAGTATCTCAATACATATATAAGCACATTATTAAAATAAGTATCTCAATACATATATAAGCACATTATTAAAATAAATATCTCAATACTTATATAAGCACATTATTAAAATAAATATCTCAATACATATATAAGCACATTATTAAAATAAGTATCTCAATACATATATAAGCACATTATTAAAATAAGTATCTCAATACATATATAAGCACATTATTAAAAAAAGTATCTCAATACATATATAAGCACATTATTAAAATAAGTATCTCAATACATATATAAGCACATTATTAAAATAAATATCTCAATACTTATATAAGCACATTATTAAAATAAGTATCTCAATACATATATAAGCACATTATTAAAATAAGTATCTCAATACATATATAAGCACATTATTAAAATAAGTATCTCAATACATATATAAGCACATTATTAAAATAAGTATCTCAATACATATATAAGCACATTATTAAAATAAATATCTCAATACTTATATAAGCACATTATTAAAATAAATATCTCAATACATATATAAGCACATTATTAAAATAAGTATCTCAATACATATATAAGCACATTATTAAAATAAGTATCTCAATACATATATAAGCACATTATTAAAAAAAGTATCTCAATACATATATAAGCACATTATTAAAATAAGTATCTCAATACATATATAAGCACATTATTAAAATAAATATCTCAATACTTATATAAGCACATTATTAAAATAAGTATCTCAATACATATATAAGCACATTATTAAAATAAGTATCTCAATACATATATAAGCACATTATTAAAATAAGTATCTCAATACATATATAAGCACATTATTAAAATAAGTATCTCAATACATATATAAGCACATTATTAAAATAAATATCTCAATACTTATATAAGCACATTATTAAAATAAGTATCTCAATACATATATAAGCACATTATTAAAATAAGTATCTCAATACATATATAAGCACATTATTAAAATAAATATCTCAATACTTATATAAGCACATTATTAAAATAAGTATCTCAATACATATATAAGCACATTATTAAAATAAATATCTCAATACTTATATAAGCACATTATTAAAATAAATATCTCAATACATATATAAGCACATTATTAAAATAAGTATCTCAATACATATATAAGCACATTATTAAAATAAATATCTCAATACATATATAAGCACATTATTAAAATAAATATCTCAATACATATATAAGCACATTATTAAAATAAATATCTCAATACATATATAAGCACATTATTAAAATAAGTATCTCAATACATATATAAGCACATTATTAATATAAGTCAAATGTCAATATATATATCAGGACTAATTGCCTAAGCACATTTTTCAAATAAGTATCTCAATGCATATATATCATATACATATATGATACATATTAGGCAGTTTAGGCAATATTTATAGCAAATGTAAACATTTTTTTTATTAAATGCATTATATTCCGTAATATATTTCATTTTCAAAATGGTTTCAACCACCTCTGTAGCTTATTTAGCTCCAAAGATATACGTGTTTTAATTTTTTCAATTCATAGACTTTTTATGAAATATTTTCTTAAAGTATCTCGTTCAGTTTTTGGCACCGAAAATTTTTTTTTTTTTTTTTTTTTTTTGCGTAAAAAGTGGCGTAAACTAACTTATAATAAAATTTTATTAGAAAATAAATTGTAAATCTAAATTATTTGAACAATTCATAAGTAGAATTTTTTTGGGGGGTTAACGCAGACGTACCATGAAATAGTCAAATAACTGTATAATATGTTTTAATATGTTTTAAACTTTTTTGACACAAAATAAATTTTCAAATGTTTTAATATTTAATACGTTGAGCGTAACAAAACTTTGATAAATATTAACTTGAATTAATTTTATTTTTCTTTAATAAATTATCAATTGAACAACGTGGGCCCAAATAAAACACGCCGAAAAAGTCAAAATATGTACAAAATAAACATAAATCTAAAATTTATTTTTACACAAACAAATAAAAAAATTAGTCAAAGACTTGTTAATAATTTCAGTATTGTTATAGATTTAAAAAAAGATTTAACCACTTATAGTCTACTGATTTGACTAATTTATTGTTTTCAGCACCTATTATAATATAAAAAATGTTCTATTTTTTAATGGGGTTAAGGTTTTTTACTTTTTTAAAAATTTTGAAAACAGTTAATGAAAAACTCGTTGAATTGTTCTTTTTCATTGTGTTTGGCTTTATTTGATTGTGTACTCTCGAGTCCTTAATTCCAAGGGAGGGGGGGCGTTTATTAATTTTGGGGAAACTTTGCCACCCACACTAAGCTTATAAGGACCCCCTCCCGTTTATTAATTTTTACTTGTTTTAACTAAAAAATTATATCTGAAAACTAAAAAAAAATTAGTGAAAATCAGCTTTAAAAATCAAAAAATACATACTAGTTACTGAAAAGTAATAAAACTTTCAGTGTAAATTCTGACCCTCCCCTCCCCCGGTTCATTAAATCTTGACTAAACTCCATCAACCACTTTTATTAACCCCATCCCTCTTGTATTAAGAAATTAAGATTACATAGATTAACAGATACAGAATTAACATAGATTAACAGTCATGGAAATTAACAGTCATGGAAATTCTCATACGGATTGTCTTATCTATCTTTTTGTCTTAAACTTTTTAATAGATGTCTTAAATCGTTTTGTCTTTGAAATAAATTATCGCACTATTAATGTACCCAAACTTGACTATATGTTGCAAACTCAGAAATTTCACTTTTCAAAATTCATTTAAAACTTAGCATTCTTCATATCGGTAAATTTACTAAATAAATATTTTAATTATCGAACTTCAATTCAAACTTCAGAGTAAGCTGTGTGTGTATTGTTAACAAACAATTTTATACATAATTTGCCTTGGCTATTCCGTTCATAAATTAGACAAAATTGTCTAACTTTCTTAACGAAGTGCACCAACGAGAAGGTAAGACATAGGACTTTGCACTCCATCCGTGAGCTGTCATGTTGCCTAAGGTTAGCCCTCCATTTCTGGATTCTTTCCTTTACTTGATAGGCAGTTCATGTAAAAGTAATAGTAAATTAGCCTAAGGTTAGCCCTCCATTTCTGGATTCTTTCTTTTACTTGATAGGCAATTCATGTAAAAGTAATAGTAAATTAGCCTAAGGTTAGCCCTCCATTTCTGGATTCTTTCCTTTACTTGATAGCCAGTTCATGTAAAAGTAATAGTAAATTAGCCTAAGGTTA